AAAAACAAAATTTTGCTAAGTGCCATCTGTACGTGATATTTAGAAGGTTAGCCTTAGACCAGTATCGATCAGATTGGAATCAGGACATACCATTGCGGCAACGTTTACTAAAACAGAGTTATAAAAGCGATAGATATTTGATATTACGAAAGCAGAGAACGGAAATAAAACTGTACAAAATCCTCACATAGTATACGTTCCTGTGCCTTTGATAAAACGCATACATAATCGCTGGTCTCCAAAATCGTATATCCCTTAACAGAAACTACCTGAAGCTCCTGGTGATTCCAGACTTCACTTGTTCTTCTGCAATATGCTTCAAAAATGACACTCTAAGCTGCCAAAGCTGCCAACTGTTATGCACTCAACTTCATCATGTTACTTTTATAGATGTTACTTCCTCTTCACTGTGAAAACCTTGTTGACCAGGTTTGCCAAAAGCTATTTCTTTAAACAGATAATGACGATACATTTGTCTAACTTCAGAACTTCAGATAAACAGACAGAATCTGCATTTTCTTACAAGTAGCAACAAAATTATTGAGTCGAAACAATTAAGAAAATGTGAAAACTAATTATTATTTGAGTACGGACCCGAAATTAATAACATATGTGCTTACTTTTTAAACCATATTTCAACGAGTAATACATTGCTGCAGTTTATTGCTGCGTTCCCCTTACTATCAAAAAGTAACATCAAATTGTCTTCTGTTAAACTAAGAATCTGAAAAAAAAAGAACAAAAAAATGTCTTAAAAAACAATTTTAACAAAAGAAAATTACCAGGATATGGTTTTAAAAGTTCTTAAAACACATGGCTAATATTAACAAAGAAAAAAAAAGAAAGCATTGAGAGTTATACTAAATAAATTACCATAAACTACATCGCATCTATTCATATCAACATTGATTAAATAAAAAAAACCAATTACTTATTAACTGAAAAGTTACCTCATTATTTTCAAAACATAGCAATCTTATAAGACTTTCTTTATGTATATTATGCACAGATTTTGGCTTCATAATACTGGATAAACAATACACTGAATAAACTAAAAATTTGACGTGCCAAATGTATCAGACTGCAGATCAAATAGTATAATTGTTAAGATTCAATTCCCCAAAGGCATTTAAGTTCTGTGTTGGTGACGTCACAGTAATAGCTTAACCCATTCCAAATGTTGCCAACAGTATCAAAACTACTATGATACCAAAACTTCTGCCTTCCTATACCTCAGAGCTTTGGTCACAGGTACACTGTATTCATGTCTCCATTAAGAATGTTACTGATCTTCTATAAAGTGCCAATAAGCTTTCTTTTGCAAGCAATAAAATGATAAACGAAAAGACAAAGAAAATTTAGTTTTAAATGAATATTTATTGCATTGCAAACTTTATGCTGCATCGTTTGACAGTAAAAAAAATTAAAAAGATTCTGTAAAACCAAAATTTCCAAAAGTTTTAAAAAAATTTAATTTTTGCTACAACCTCTATTTTTATTATACTTTTTTATGACAATATTAAACTGTATCTAATGAGCGGGTTTTTTTTT